TGATTGTTATTGGAGTTGTGTATTGGAGCTTCACAGGATACTCCAGATTTAATTTGAACTAGGGATTGATTTAGTTGCCTTCAAAGACAGGTTTTCCTTTCCAAAATTGAACTAGTGCATGACTTTGCAAGTTCATTTGGCTTTACTGCTCGACACTATTGTATGAGACTTTACAACATTTATGGTACGTTTTGCCCTGCTGATCTCTTGTTCACTCACATGTACAGACACACATACAGACTACTATTAAAACAAACACTCTTGCTGCCCCCCTGCCTTTTCCCTGGGAAATACATTCCTCACTAAAAGCTACTGATTCAAAAGACTCACACAGTTCAAATCCATATTATATGAAAAACATAATCACTTTGAACTTCTAATATATCAATTAGAAGGCTCTTAGAGCATTTTACTATCATTAGTTATGCTATAACTTTTCTGAAAGATGAGAACAGCACATTCCCATTTTGCAGATCACTACTGAGGGATGTAAAAAACCAAAGAAACTAATGTTAAGAAATGACAAGGTCTTAGGCAACTTGAATTGTCTTCAGTTGTGGGACATTTACCTGCTAATTGCCTATCTTGCCTATTTAAACTGTGAGATCTGTGGGATGCAGCTAAATTACTATGAGTCTCAGCCTGGGCCTCTGAACGCTAATGGAATTCAAATGAATGATATTAATAAAAATCAAATAATAGTATCCCATAGGAAGTCTAGAAGATCCGGAATGACAACAGGTCCTATAATGCATTTTATTGTACAGTAGCTGCAAAGTCAATCTTAGCATAACGTTCACATAGCTTTACGCCAACATTTTTTTAGATTTTGGGTTTTTTTGTTTGTTTGTTTTTGTACAAACTGAATATATTCCTTTTTAGACTCTATATTCCCTTTCGAGGGCTATTTGCTCTTATTCAGTAGGATTAGGGCACTTTGAAAGCACCTGTTGTGGTACAATAAAACCCTTCTGTTTCCTTGTTTTTGCTAGGCACACATAGCTTTCACGTTTGCAGCTGGTAAGTAGCAACACTCACAGATAATCATGCCCACAATCACAGCTTATTGTGCTTTTAACAGGACACTAAATGCAAGCCTGTTATTCTTTGTTAATCAGTAACTGTGTGTTGGTTGACAGCCACTAGATTTTTTTTTTTTTTTAGTGTGCAATTTCTCACCTATGACAAATCCCCTATCCAAATCAAGAGACTAAAAGACAACAGCAGTTCAGATCCCCAACACGGTACAAGCATACCTACAAATGTTGTGTTATTTGAGAATTGGCTCTTTGTCCTGTAAGCAAGACAACCACCAAAACTTTGCAGCAACTCTACTGCTATTGTCTAGATATTAACTGGTGAGTTCGTGAATTAACCATGTAGTTGCATAGCAAAGCTACTTCAAAACTGAGAAATAAAGAAGAGCCGTGACATACTTTGTGCAGTTTTCAACACTCATTGCAATTTTGACTTAATTTGTTTCCCTCCCTCTTTGCATCTTGAGTTTTTGAAGGTAAATGAACCATTCGGTGTCATAAAACAAGGAGAACTAGAACAGCCTTCAGTAAAAACAAAAACTAACGGGAAAAGGAGATCTTTTGCAGGCAACATTTCACATGGCTCAAAACGTCTTTGCCGCAGTTTAAATTCTGCAGCCTTTCCATTGTTCTGACACCTCTTTATTGTTCCTTTTAAGTGCAAATGCCTAGGTAGCATCACTATAAATGAAACAGTAGTGTTCACAGATTGCATTCAACGGCTGTTAGAGATTCCTCTCCTTCATCTACACAATTTGCATCTATTATAGGTTCAAGAATATAGCTTTTGCCACTTCTCAGTGACCTCAGAAGGGCACAAGATCCCATCCTAAAGAACTACAGTGAGGTTGATCTTTAAAGCCCTTCCTAGAGGCAGACCTGCTACGATGCTTACGGAGGGATAGGAGTACGGGAAGAAGTCGGTATGGTGAACAATGAAAGACAGCACTGTGATGTGCAATACAAGTTCTCTGAATTATCTCATTTTGTGATAGCCACCACAAAATTTAGGGTGTTTAATTTGAACTGCTAATAAAGATGCAGAGCCCTACTCTGAGACTAAGGCACAGGCATTCACGGCCTCCTGAGCATGGCTCTGAGGGGTTTTGCAGTGATTTGTGCAGTAGTCTGCCTCTGGGGTGCAAGAAAGAGGGGGGTGAATGCATTTTGTACCTGTGAAATTCACATTTCTTTCACAGTACCTCAGGGAAAAAGAGTGAATGGAGGACAGACTGTATCATCTCTCTTAATTCCCTATTATCAGTTATGTGCTGAGAATATTTTAACAAGGGGTTCCTTCAAAAATTAACCATTATGGCCTGAGCTAAACCCCCGGCTAGTAGAAGGGAAGTGTTTTCATGCATAGAAAGATAACATGCAGGAGATGCTCTGTGTTTGCTTTGTGATTGCTCAAACCAAGAGAAGAGACAACTGCTCTTAATAAATCAAATATACGAAATGCAGAAGCTGCCTATTGTTTATTTCTGAGAAAATAATATTTTGATGATTTGACTGCTCTCCTTTGATAGAAAGTTTTATAGATGAGATCCAGAACCTTTGTCCCTTCTGTGGAAATGTTTGCAATTGACAGATGTGACATTCTGGACTTCATTCTAATAACTAAGATATTAAAATTGTGAGTTGTTTATGGAAGAAACTTAACAGTATTTATGTTCAGTACTTAGAGCAGGCCTGATTTAGGAAGGCAGACCTTTAGGTATGGAGCCAATTATAACCAGGCTAGAGGTGATAGCATATAGAATGTGTTTTTATGTGATAATAATTGTACAGGATAATAAGTCCAACATTTCAAGAGAGTCACACTGCAGCGTGTGATGCCATTGATGTTGAGGTAGTACACACATTGTCCTTTCTGTCATGAGGCTCCACTATTACAATATTCACATAAAGTGGAAGCAAAAAGACTACTGCTATTATTATTATTATTTTTCTTTGTTGTGTCTCTCAGGAATCAGAAGATAAGCCAAAGCCTGGAGACAGGAATGCATTGTAGTAGGCCACCCTGCTGAACAACTAAAACAATAAGATATCATATGCTTTATCTCCATGACAATGCAATGGGATTATATTATTTTATCTTGTTTTACTAGCAAGGCATAATTGTATACAGCCTTCTCATGGAGCACACAAAGTACTGAGACTGGGAATTTGAAAAAAGGAGCTAGGTGTATGGAAAGACTTTCTTCCACTCTGATCAATAGAATGAAAATCTGAAGAATCACTGACACAACATCTTTCATATTCTCATTCTTTTTCTAAATAGAGAACGTATTTCACTTACAGAAGTGAACTATTATAAATGCAGTTGGAGTCTGCATTATCTGTCCTTTGTATCCCAGTCATCTGCTTAAAATCTTTCTCTTTGTCATACTTTTTTCTTTTAAAAGAAGAGACTTAGGTAAAATCTCTTCAATGACCGTAAGAATTTATAAGCAAATACTCCATTTGCATATCTAGTTTTCATGCAATACAAAGTAAACCTCTCTTTAAACACATAATAGACACATCTTCCTGAAGACAGATACTTGCTTCAAATAATGTTTTGTTCCATAGTTAAAAGAGATGAGATTTCCTCGCATAACCTACAACAAAATATTGGAAAGGACTAACTTCGCTGATTACTTGCCTATCTATTTTAAAAGTGACACTTGTCTATTACTGCCTTAAGCACCTTGCAGCAAGACTTCAGAGTCTCACTACAGCTATGCCATCAAATGTGTTGCTATTATTCTCCTATAAATCTGAACCCGAGACATAGAAGTGCAAATCACAATGCCTCAACCTTCTAAAGTAGGCAGTGACTATACAGAATATGGATTTTTTAACTCCTCTAAACATTCTAGCAATTAATTTTCAGCTACACCTTTTACCTATCTAGCACAAAATTAATTTATGTAACATACTTTGAGTCTCCAAATTAACTTAAATACAAGTTTTCTTCTATTAGGAGAACACAGAAGTCTTTAAGATGAGGTTACAACATGATGTTATTAATATTCAAATGAAAGCGAGTACTACCATAGTTATTAAAATCCAGAAAGTCTTCAAGGACTACATTTGCCCCTAAACTCACTCGCTGCCCACTTGTCCTTGCCTAATGACTTAAAGATTGTCCATTATTACTAGAAAAGAGGAGTGGAGTACAGATATCACAGAAGGTGTAAAACAAGCACAATATACGCTTATGTAAATAGATGAATTTCATATTCCTCTGTATTTCCCACTAAAACTGCATTTGAAACAAGGTAATTAAATTAGACTACTGGTAGAACTCCAGGAGAGATTAGCTCAATCAGACGGAAAATTCCCAATAGCTTCATTGATATTCGGTTGCACCCTTCCAGACAGAGAGGTGAATACAGAACAAACAGATGCAAGCAGGAAGATAACCACTTGGCAAAACCCGGACACAAGAGCACAGTAGCCAGCTAAGTACAATCATCCAAGTAGGACGGGGAGCACAGAAAATGGTTCATTAGGAACCCTTACAAGGCTTTTCAGCCTCACGTGGCACCCTTTTCAGCCCCTTGACACTAAACGCCAAATGCTACTGGCCTCTCTCTCAAAAACAGCATTATTTTTAATTGTCACCGTGGCTGCACAAGCAGTGCCAGGAGTCACCCCTCTCACTTGCCTCATGCTTCCCACCACCTGGTGCTGGCAAAGATCCCTTTGGCTGGCAAGGCAGTGAGACTTTATTTTTCCTTGTGGCTCTTTTGTAAAGGGTACAATGTGGATCGTTGTCTCCTTACGTATAATTAAGTGCTTAAGTGGCAGCATGTCATGCTGCAATGTTGGGATCTTAGCCTGGGTCCTGAACTAGCTGGAAGGCTCAGAGGGCTGACAGACAGCATTGCACTGAATAACAGTGGTGAAAATTGCCAGAGATAGAGTTAATTCACCTAGGGGATAAATGCACATGAGAAATTTAAAGGGGCCTACCTGCATCTCAACTTTGTCACAAACGCTTTAAGGAAAGGATAGAAGGAAACAGTGATGAAGAACCAGCCAGATTAAGTCTGCCACAGTAGGATCTCCAATCCCTTATGGGTCTTACCCAAGATTAGGTCTCATTGTGCCCAGCTTCAGATGAAGTGATGTGCTTGGAGTGCTGTCACCTGCAGGAAGCACAAAACCAAACCCAAACAAACACAAAATATTAGTGCATTTAAAATGCAAACATTACAAGCCATAAAAAAGCAAAACACGATAAATTCACTCACATTCCTGGTCAGAAATAAGTCTATATTTATCTAGCAAAGGGAAGGACATAGGGTACTTTTCTTCCTTGGTTAGTGAACCCTGAGGACTGCCAGAATGGTGCTGCAGAGAGAGAGGAAGGAATGAAGGAAAAGTTGGCTGAATGAATCCAAGAGCTCAGTTTGGTGGATGAGAACAGATAAAAACCTGCCAAATCCTATGTAGCAATGGAAGGGGGGGGGTTAATAAAAATTTAAAAATCCCCCAAACCAATCAATTCTTAATCTTCAACAATTAATTATTTGATGAGAGCATTGTTGCCACCTGCCTGTATTGATCATGAAAATTAAGGTCATTCAGTGAAAGGCTGCCACCACCATTAAATCTGAATTTCTTTCTTGTCCAGAGGGAAAGTATTTGCCTTTGGAGACTGAATAAAAACAGGTCTGAATTCTTCCTCAAGCATGGATCCAGTGAGAAAGACAAAGGGGTTATTTTGATTTGCACGCCATTGCTTCCTTTCATGCTTTTTTTTCTTGAAGTGGCATGTGCTCCTTTAAAAGGAGCAGGCTCTCAGCTTGCCATGGGACCCCATTGTTTTCTATATCTGGTTGAAATAAACCTCCTGAAATATGTTTGGTTTCTCTTATATTTCAAAGTGGTGGCCAATAGTCAGCTGCGAATGGGCTCAAAGTGATCTCAGCCAGTACAGATTTAAAACTCCCTCAGGACTTGCTGTGAAACAAAGCACAGTAAAACCTCATCATCTTCATCTGTGAAATTCTGGTCAAACCTTCCTTTCAGCTATTCAAATCTGAAGATGTTCTTTTGACATCAGTGCAGAGAATGTTAGATTCCCAGCTAATGCAAGCAAGCAAATTTCAACTGAATTTAGTGAAATTACTTCAGGATTTGGCTTTGTGGCTAAGCTCACTGTTCCATATGCTTAACTGAGTTGAGAAAAAAATAAAAAAGAGGAGAATCATAGTAAGTATAACAACATACATTAAGTGTAGTTTTCACATTCATAATACCCATCTTAACCATTATCTTTGGAACAGTATCTAATTAATACTTCTGGACCAGGTCTTTTATGCTGGCAATAATACTTTTCATATCATTTTCATTTGAATTTTTCTTAATATTTTCTTTGTCTGGGTTCTCTGCCTTAATCCAAATTAACTTTGCTTTTATGTAATGCCCCTGGCAGACTTTGAGACACACAGCACAGAGTCACATTACACTAATCCATGGCAAATGTGGAAAACTGATGAAAAGACGGTGGCTCCTTTTGTGGGGTAGAGGGGGGAGAGGGAAGGACATGTTGGATTGGGGTAATTTTCTGTCGAGTCATCCTGCCAAGATCATATAATCTCTAAACCTGACATCAGGAATACAGGGATGGGACTTTTGGTGTCAGCCAGAAGTTACACTGAATTAGGTATAATGTGAAACTGCACCGTGAGAAGGGAAAAGTCACTTCTGGGCATCTTAGAGAGCTGTGAAATGCCCTCCCAGCTTAAGAGAGAGGAATGAGGCTACAGGCCTGTCAGAAGAAAAGAATTTAAAGTGAGGTTGTGTCTGAGGGGAGGGTAGACTCAGTCAGTGTAGACGCAGAGTTTGATCCACAGCTCTCTGAAGTCAAATGTTTTAGTTTACGTCAATGGCCTTTGATTAGGCCCAGAGAGAGCTGTAAGATCCAAGGGCTGCCAGGCTTGGTTACAGTCATCAATATTATAAATCCCTGAGAGAGTTTCCTCACTAAACTCTAGGCCTTTTTGCTGCAGGACGCTAACTAAGGGCATGATCCTGAGCAAAGTTAGTCCCATCGGCTCCAAAGGCCATAAATTCTCTTGGCCATCTTGCAGCAGACACAGATAGCCTGGTTTGCTGTAGCTGCTTAATATGAGCACTAGAAAGGGTGAGAAAGACATTTTCTGGCAAAATGAAGCTATTCTCATAGCCAAAACTGGGGTTTCCTCTGAGAGTGGGGTGAGTTAGAAAGGTCCCAGCCTTCTGTAC